TGTCAGGAAAATCCAGTCCAAACTAGTGACTAAACCAAGTCACATCAGATACTGATGCTACAGCGATGCAGATATTGATATTTATCCTTCAATTGATACATTTGTATATGGATGTCAATGGTGCATATAACCGATGTGCTGTACTCGAGTGGAAAAATGCTGATCGACAATTTGACCTAAGCTGCTAATCGGCATGTTGCCCTGTTGTGGCCAAGCACCCCACAGATGGTGCACTTGGATGATCCACTCCATTTTTTGCTGTATGTGCCTAAAAGATAGACTCTGCTGTTGACCTTCTCCGTATTTTTCATAACAATTGTGTCACATCTTGCGAATATTTTCTATTTGTATCACCTTTTGCAATAAATCCTATAATAATTCGCACTTTCCAACCAGACCTACACGAGAATAACTAATATCGACAATAATTGAACGATTGGATCTATAGGATTACCCATAAATTCGAATTGTTCGAGTACCTGTTCCCGAGACAAATAGACAGATTGATAGGCTCATGTATATCGTCGATGGATCAGGCGAGGGTGGCCGTAGTCATTACTCTCCTGGTCACACTCTCCAGCATCGCTGAGTTTAATCTTCAATTTAGCTACGAAAGGTAGCAGGGCTGAACTCAGCTGCCCCTCCCTCACCAGAACCGGAGCGGCTACGTGGAGGTCTCGAAAGAAACACAGAGATTAACAAAAATATTTATAGAAATGGGCTAGAATTTTTAGAAGCATACACTGCGTAATTTGGCGCATAACTCAACCAGCAGAGAACATCGCTTGAACAACACGATTTCTTTGCGCAAATGCTTCGAAGGAGATGCACCACGCGAATAACACGGTTCGTTTGACCATTTTGCGGTCATGCCGACTAGCGTTTTATAGGCCCAAGCAATGTGTGATTGGATGATGCACTCGGACGGTCAGCGGATGGTCAGTGGTGGACATGTTCAATCTTTTACCTAAATTTCTAAACAAAACTCGCCGAAAATGCTGTTCGGCTGATTTTTGATTTCCATTGGCGCGTTATGTTGTCAAAATACATTGTAACAGAACAACTAGGCTGTGTCCTTAACGGTTCCGGTGTCATTGACAGAAGCAAGATGAGCCATTTTGGCAAGGCGGCACATAGAGACCAGAATGCCGGCATAAGTGGACGGGTATTCTCAAAACCAACATTAAAGTCCATTAATATGGACTGCCACTGTTATGCTAATATCGGTGATTTTACCAAAGGCGTTGACGCATACGGCGATGCCCAGCTCTTCGTAAGTCTGCACACATACGTGCTTATCCACTAATACATTCTATATCACTCGTATGTGCGCTCACTGAGCCGTGTGGCTCTTCTGAACCGAGATGGCCGTATCATGTGTGCCGTACAGTATTCTGTAATATTTATCATGAGGTAATATCACAAGTTGAGTAAAAACGAAGGTCAGATGCAACACCTGTTGCATCTGACACTACAATGTAGGTGTCGCCTCATCAATATGATATATCACCGTCTTGCCATGAGTCGGGGTGGCGTGAAATCGTGCTTGCCACCACTTTCGGCCAATCCACTCACACCTTATCTCGAACTCATACTCAGCAAAGATGACGAATCAGCTTCTCGTACTTGTTTGGAGATGTAATATAAGCGTTGCTGTACGCAACGACGCATGATCTGAATAGCTCACAAACTAGTAAGATCCAAAATGGTGTAATCTGAACTAAACAAGAGCATCCTGAATTGCAATTAGCTTTTTAACGTCAATTAGGCAATTCTACTCTGTCGCGTGAAGCTTGACATATTCAAGCAGGTTGACTTATCATGTTTTTCGCAGGTGCTGGGAGTCAAATACAGTTTATGCCAAAGACCGAAGCGTCCACAGGCAACTTGAAATGGCCAATCTGGGTAAAAAATAGCCAGAATAAGGGTCCACCCGATGCTTTTTTTCTCAATCTCTTAGGCTACTCTTTCTGCAGTGCCCCAGCCCGTTTTTTAGATTCGAAGAGGGGATCGGTGGGAGGCCGCGCAACATTTGAATAATCTTCATATTGCCAAACCTTTAGCCAGGTGGTGAAGCGACTCTCTTAGGTCTTGTCGGGGCAGTGGCAACGGCCAATCTTCGATGGCCAGGATCGTTACGTGATCTACCTGCGGACCATGCCTTCAACAAGGCATTCCGCTGGCGCCCAGGTATCTATATTTATTGGTGAATAGGATATTGAAGCACTTTACACTTGAGTACTGCTGGCAAGTGTTAAATGTAATGGGGTGGTAGGCCCATAAAACATTTTGTGTGGTTCACACTGAGTTACTGGCTAACTTTATTTGCTCTACGCTAAGTAGGGGGTGGCTACAATTAGGTTCATTTATTGCTAAACCAGGCTAAAATTAGGTTAGGGTAATATACTCAGTCCTTACTTGATCAAGAGATCTACACACAGTTGGGTTGAGAAAGCGCGTACGACAGCTACGCAAGATGACCAATTCTCGAGGTAAAGCTACCTCAGCGCAAGGGTGCGCGTAACCAGCTGTCCCGTTATATCTGGTAGCACGTCTTGTTTAATCCACCGCTGACATCGAAGATGTTCGATTCCAGCTACCAGACTGACTTCTTGGCCCAATCATCACTCCAACTATCTGTATTTGCCCGATTCGAATAGGTCGAATACTTGGTGGTAAAGCCTCCATCTAACTGTTACGTCACGACCAAGATGTGGTCAAGGAGCACTTCCGCATCTTGATGGCGTATGCATTGATCTTGTCGAACAGGTCTCGACAACGGTCGCAAATTTCCTTACGTCTGAGCCGACCATCATGAAACACATGGTGCATTGTGGTGCCCTGTCACTCCCGACCCCGACCCCACCGACCGTGGTTGTCCAATTGAAGATGCCATCATCCCCACGAAGCGTAGTCACCCCAAAACCGCAAAAGATTGCGGCTAAGCCTTTTATTGATTAGCAGGGAGAGAATCGCCACTTCTGGTTTCGCCAAGTTGATATGGCATTGGTGGTAGCGCTGGCTCACGAACATCAGTAGAAGGTTGCGCTTGCGCTCTCACATAGGCAAGGTGCTGCCCACAAGTGCAGTTTACTTGAGAGAAAAACCGTCTTGGTTATTTTCCTTCGTGGAAGTTCCTCCAAGAATCGATGGCATAGATGTTTCTTCCACCGAATGTGGCCGTTAAAAAATGTGGTGTTTTCTTAATTGGCGTCAGGGCAAACACTCGATCTACGACTTCATACAAGAACTTCGCAAGTTGTGGGCGGCGCTGGCGGACAATATCCAATTTAAAAAGATCATCAAAGACATTAATAACCGCATATTTACATAGGAATAGAAAATTGAAACAGGTTTATCTTTATTAAACTATTATAAAAAATATTTAATACCCTTTTCATTTAAATTTCAGTCTGATAAATTAAAATTGCTTGAAGTATGTAAGTTTATTACAATTAATTAATAATAAAAGCATTAAATGGTCACCGTCTATATGGAGTGACACGAGGTCGGCCCCCAAAGACTGAAGTCTTTTATCGACAATCGATCAAGCTTGAAGATGCAATCTTCGTCGCCCTTCAGGAGGATCAGCTTCGGCGACAACCGACGTGCTGAGCCGTCGGTGCGTGTTCCTAAACCCATGGACCTGTCTGCGATTTATCGCCTACAGGTAAACTGCTATAGTTGTTGCCGAGTGGGCCACTATGAACGAGACTGCCCGACAAAGATTTAAGGGTCCAAAACCACCAATGTATCACCAGTTTACTCTTTTCGTGGTCGGGGACGCTGGTGTGGTGCTAGCCGACGTGGTGACCATTCAAGCAATTTCTGCAGCGGGTGAGGGAACTGTCCCTCATCAACTTCGCTGTTAATGCACTTCCAGTGTGCCCCTCCCGTCGTCTGGAAAATGCGCAGGCCTAGTAGATGCGAAGCGGCCTACTGGTGTAGAGCTTTCAGCTTTTTCCTGCGCTAATATTGTGCAGGTGGAGCCGCTAACCCCAGATAAGTTTCGACTTCCCACGAAGGGGAGACATTTTCGTCGTTTTTGGCAACAGTAAAGGGTTTGGTAGACCCATCACTATTTGACTCTAGAGTATTAGAAAAATAGTACTGCGGAAAATCTCTGTGCGAAGAGAAACTGGTAACATTGATGCCCGTCTTGTGACGGGTGCGGTTGTTACGCAGCAGAAGATCGGAGTCGATCAACGAATAAAATTCTTGGATTTCGGCTTTGAGCCGATTTTCCCCGTCATCGACTCGGACGGTCGGTATGTAAGGTATGCGTGGTTTGAAAACACAAGCCATGGATCGTCCGGAGAACCAGGCAGATTGCGAATAGCTCGTCGTGTGGAAATCGAACCTACGGACGCCATGACCGGGCTGTGATTATCCATCAGTGTAGCGATGCAATCGAGGATAGAGCTCACTATGTTGGCGTTTGCGACATAGTCTAAAGCCACGAGTCACCAAGAAGGTTCAGTTTGCGATACCAGTTGTGCCGAAACAAGTTATTGCTTCGGTAGACGAAACTACCGTGGTAGCCATTGCTCCAGCTTATATATCTACTGTGAAAGCCTAGGCTCCGGTATTAAATACGACTGTGAAATCTCTCGCATCGATAATTCAATCCATCGTGGAAGTTCATCACGCCCAAGTAGTGAAAGCTACTATGGAAGCTCTTGCTCCAAGAGTAAAATCTATTGTGGAAGCCCACTTTACCATAGTATTTAAGTCTACTGTGGATTGTATTGCTTCGGTAAATGCTACTACCGTGGGCGCACATTAGGCTCCTTTAGGCAAATCTGCTGTAGAATCCAATAGCAAACGGTAATGTGGAAGCACTATATACTCCAGTGGAGAGCATTACTGTGGAGATTTAGAATCGCTACTGTGAGATCACGTCATGCTCCGATAGTTCGAACTATCGTGGAAGCTAAATCTCCAGTAGATAAAATTACTGTGGGAGCCCACAAGCTGATTTCGAATGCTCCGGTAGGTATATCTACCGTGGAAGCCATCGCTTCCGTAGTCGAATCTAGTGTTCCAATGGCTTATACCATTGTGGAAGCTTTACATTCAGCTGTGAACGCAGTGACGGGATTTCTTGACTAGGCATGTATGCCCCCCCTGCCAGAAAAACCTGCTCTCACGAGCCTGGAAGAACTGACTTTCCCAAGTTTCCTGGAGACCTCAAGAATGGCGCGCTCGCCAAAGTCGTTATGATCTGACGTGCAAGCGCAGCAACAGCACAAATTAAAACATCCTCTGTCTTAGGTCTAAGTGTCGTCGACAGCGATTTGAATCGCGATGCGAATAAATGATTCTCAAGAATGCGCGCGATCCTTATTTTGTCCTTTTGTCCAAGTACACGTCAACATGTTTGAGTCCGGAATTTTCAAACGGTCTCCCGTTAGATCGTTGTGTACGACACGAGATCGAGATCAAGCCGGGTGTAGGATGTCTGCTATTGCGTCAATGGCCATTACCAACTGAGCAATTCGAGTTCTTAGACTCGTTCTTTGCTTTTGAACAGTAACCGATGGGGGGTTAGACAGTAAATCTACCTACAGTGCATCAACGTAAATCTTCTCTTCTCTTCTCTTCTCTTCTCCTCTCTTCTCTTCTCTTCTCTTCTCTTCTCT